TGTGGATGTTGTTGTACATGTTGTTGTTGTTGTTGCTCTCATTTTCACGCTTCAACGACCTTAATTACAATTTCCGCTCCACTTCACCCCTATCTATTCAGGATCTTTGGTGGTTGTTTTGTTGAAATAAACTCAACACTTCACATACCCTCGATGTTGTCTAGAGTTTTTGACCTTTCAGTGACCTCGACATGACCCGGATAAATAAACACCCCTGATAAATAAACGCCCTCATTATCGACCTACATAAATTTATCTGTCTATGGTGTTTTGTTGTCATTATTTTTCACGCCACTGTTTAATGTTCTATCATGTTTTTTGTATCATTATCATTATTTTGTATCATCATCATCATCATCATCGTCGTCATCATTAGCTAGGTATCAAGTTTCGCCAGTAATCCTTATATTACTAATCAATATATACCATTTTCTATTTCTAATTTGAATTGTAAATTTTGTTTAATAAAAAAAAACTCTACTTGCACGCACGCGCACACACACTTAAACACGCACGCGCACACATAAACACACACGCACACAAACAACCACAATTGATGTTGTAATTACAGCAAATATTATTATTCTTAATTATTATTTTTATAAATTTTCTCCCGTTATAATTTGTTTACTGTATAATTCTTTTTCTCCGTGTATTATTTAGTTGCACTCAAGCTTGTCATTTTAACATTGGGTAGATCCATTCTTAAACTAATACAGAGCAATGATGATGATAATAATAATAAATAATAATAATAATAATAATAATAATTGCAATCATAATAATTTGTATTATCATTGTAGGGTGCATTTAGAAATGGTTTAAAAGTTTTGACGTAGTATTTAAATTGTAATTAAAAGTCCTCTAATTTAATAATCATAGTAATAATAATAGAAATAATAATAAATAATAATAATAAATAGTAACAATCGTCATTTAATAATGTTAATCTTCAGTGTGCACACCACACACACACGACATGTTTCTGCGTTACATTTGAATTGTGATCTATCTATAATATATGTGAATGTTTATGCTAGCTTTTTTATTTGTTTATTTTCTCTTTCGCTTATTCATTCGTTTGTTTATTCATTCATTCGTTCATTCATTCATTCATTCACTCGTTCGTTCGTTCATTCATTTTGTTAGATTTTTGGTTTACCGGTTGTGGATTAAAAACGTATGGTGTGTTCTGATCGCAGTTTAAAAAGATTCAAACTGTGCGCGCACGATGCCACGTGAGCTGTTTGAAACTTTTTGTCTGCGCGATTCAATCCAACTCACTCATTTGGATGAAATTTCAGAGGCTGACAAAAATTTAACTGAAATAAATTATACATTTTTATGATAAACAAAATTAAATTAATTAAAAATCTAATTGCCACTCCCTCACCCTTCGAAGAAAATCGTAGAAACAAAAAGTTCTCTTGTACCGGCCACACGTACATGATGTATATAGTAGGTACATACTTACAAACATACACACACGTGCACACATACATAAACAGACACGTACACACATACATGCATAAACATACTCGTACAAAGAAAAATTTTTTACAAACAAATTTACAACAAAGTCTGTATACAGGCAAACTTTCTGTCTCGTGGGATGAGCTCGTTGTTGATGTAGTACTAGTAGTAGCCGTGGCAGCAGCAGTATTTGTTGTAATAGTAGAAGTTGTAGTAGTAGTGGTAGTAGTAGTAGTAGTAGGCACTGGCCTAATGTTCCTCAATCAGCATGATGCTTCTTATAAACAAGTGCTGGCTTTTTATGATGCTTTCTCTCTCTCACCTCTCTCCCTCTCTCTTTCTTCCACTTTTCTCTCTTTCTTACTCTTTCTTCTTTGTTGTTAATTTTTTGCATCCTGCAAGACACTCACGCACACACACACACACACACACACACACACACACACAATGCATATATCATATGTACCAAGTTAAACAGCGTACATAACATACGGGCTTTTTGTAGGCTGTTTGATAAAATAGTGTTGGCAATTTTTATGCATAACAGATGTCGCAAGCATGTGTGTAAGTGTGTGTGTGTGTATTTCTGTATATATGTGTGTGTACGTGTCTGTGTGTGTGTGTGTACGTGTTGTGTGTGTACGTATGTTCATTCCAAAAGTCATTCAATGACATGTTCATCTCACTGTGTACTAATTTTTTTAAAAAGATTGAATTTCATTCGGGTTTTAGCTTCATTCTTCATTTCTTTTTCTTTTATTCTTTCTTTCATTTTTCCATTCATTCATTCATTTATTCATTCATTCATTTTCTATTTCATTCATTCGTTCATTCATTCATACATGCCTTCGTTGTTCATTTGTTTAACATGTTTAACATCATTAATTAAGTTGTTTATATTATTATTCATTGCCCATCAGCATATGGACGACGATCGTTTATATTTTTTCACTGATGACTTATTTTTCTCTCTCTCTCTCCCTCACTCTCTCCCTCTCCCTCTCTTTCTTTCTATCTCTCTATCTCATCAGTTCGCTTGTCTGGTTTCAATTTTTTTAATTTTATGTTCTATTTTTAACTGTTCGTTTTTATTCTTTTAAGAAATATATGAATGATTGAATGAATGAAAGAATGATTGAATGAATGAATGAATGATAGATTGAGTGAATGTACACACAAGCATGATCTAAACTAAGGAATCATTTAATAACTAAGTTATTAAAAGAAAGAACGAATTACGGGATGACCAAATGAAGGAGTGAAGGAATAAAAAAATGAAGGAACGAAGGATTGAAGGACAAATGAGTGAATGAATGAACGAACGAAAGTTTAATTTGTAATCAGACATTCTGATGACCTTATCATTAAATCAATTGACAGATCATGAATGCATGTTGTTCGTCCCGGACGGTTTGATGAGTTAAACATGGGCATTCCGATCATTCATTCACTCATTTGTTCTTCTATTCATTCATTCGTTCTTCATTCATTCATTCACTTATTCGTTATTTCATTCATTCACTCATTTGTTCATCTTCTCCGTACTTGCATTCTGTTCATTAATTCATTCGAAATTGAAATTTAATAGCGGAGAGTCATTAAGAAGTGGAATCCAAAGTAATTAGATGTTTCGAGCGTCTTCTTCGTCGTCGTCATCATCATCATCCTCATCATCATTTCTTGAACCCCGGTAACAGGTGTCATCTCTTCATCATCATCATCAGCAACAACCACATCGTCGTCGTCATCATCATCATCATTTTTCTTCGGTTATGACATCAGGAGGTGACACGACAACAACGAGGTCATCATCAACGTACTCCAGCAAGAACGCTTACTCATTTTTGTCGTCAACACCTCCCCCAGAATCATCATCATCATCGTCATATTTCAAGGGTGCATCATCATCATCAGTAGCAGCATCATCGTTTAAAAATTCTTCGTATCAAGTACCACCACCATCATCATCATCATCATCTACTTTTGCATCATCACGTCAGCGATCCTTCGCCGCCAAGAGTTACTCTACTAAGAAGTCCTCCCAGCCACCATCATCATCGTCATTATTTTCTTCTTCACTGTCATCAGCAGCATCAGTCGCTACCACATCATCAGTGTTAGCACCATCATCAACGACCTCATTAGCGTCATCATCATCAGCTTCTCGGAAGCACTCGTCAACGTTATTGGCATCGTCGTCATCATCTGCAAAGCCATCATCATCGCCGCATTCACCATCATCTTCTTTGGAGATTCCGTCAGCGTCTAAGAAGCTTTCGTCTTCGTCAGAAGTAGCGTCATCGTCGTCAAGATTAGCATCATCCAAGTTATCATCGTCGTTGAAATTTCCTTCTTCAAAATCCAAGTTGCCATCATCGTCGTCATCATCAACCAATCGAACATCCTCATCCTCCACAGTGGTCGGAGCTAGATCATCATCGTCATCATCATCGTCAGCAGTAGTAAGAGCTGCATCGTCATCATCAGCAGCAGCTGCAGTAGCAACATCGTCCACATCGTCAGCAGCAACAACAGCAGCTTCATCATCTGTGACGGAATTGGAAGAAAGATCGAAGAAACTTTCTTTGAAATCATCAGCATCAACAACAGCAAAACAACCGTCAAAAAAGGCAACAAAGTCGTCACGACACTCACAACAGCCATCGTTATCGGCAACACCAGCTTCATCTTCATTATCATCACCAGCATCACCAAGACCGGAGATCATCATCACAGCCACCGATCACCAACTACCACCATTAGCTTCGTCGCCACAGCAGCTGCAACCACATCCTCGTCGTCGTCATCATTATCAGGAACATCAGCAACAATTACAACATCCTCATCATCATCATCAGCAACAAAATCATCATCATCATCATCATAAAGAAAGACTTCTGACCAGCGAAGACTTCCATGAGAAGTTATTTCTAATTCCATCAACTCCGGCAAAGTTAAAATATTTCGACCGCAACACCACCACCCGGCAGCAGCAGCAACGACAACAGCAGCAGCAGCTGACGAACTTGCATCACGTCGCACCAGCCGGCAAACGTCTGCACCACTACCCGGGCCACAGAAGCATCAGGACTGGACAGAAGAACCCACTTTGGGAGAAGGAATTCTCAAAGAGGTTGAGACATCTGAGTCGCAAGATCAAAACATACCAGGAGAGAGATAGGAAGTTGAAGAAGTTAGAGCGAGAGAACGTGCAGAGGAGCGAGTCACTTCCTCGTCCAACTATTTCCATCCGCGATTTGCTATCGAGGGAGTTGAAATTATTGAGGAAGAATCAAATCAAGAGAAGTAAAAAAGCGAAGAAAGCAAAGAATTTGCCATCAAAGTCCTCCTCATTCTCAATTTTCACGTCAACTGCCACTGACATCTAAACGTCTGCTGGCTCCCTCCCACTCTCCTTCAAACGCTTCTGATTAATTAATTAATTAATTAATTAATTAATTATAATAATAAGAAGAACAATACTCGCAATAATAATAATAAACTTATCTTAACAACGACCCATCTAAATGTCGAAAACCACGACTACTACGCTCCACACCCGCCACAGCCACCACACGCCACCGGTGGCCGATGGAACGTGGGAGATTAAAATTTTTGTCGGTTATCTTGACCTCCACGTGCCCCTGAGGGTCAGGGGTGACCTCACCATCGGCGCCCTCATGCTCAAGATTGTCGAAGGGCTCGGTTGGTTGACGAATGGATGAATAAAAAGGATAGTGAATGAAGGGATGAATGAGTGAAAAAGAGTGAAATGAGTGATAGATCGATAAGCAATTGAACAAATAGAAAGATTTACTTATTACAGATAAAATCATCTGCCAGCATTAGCACTGCAAACAGAATTAAGATTGCATTTCAGAACTTACATGCATAGTCAACAGCCGAAATTTAGATTTTTTCATTTCATTATTTGACAAACAAACAAATTCTTTTAAATTTTCATCCCAAACTACTTCTCCTATATTTGTTTAATTAATCCATTTAACTGTGCATGTAACGAGCAAACAATACCTCTTATTAACGTATCAAGTCGCTTTATTTACTTTACTATTTTGTCTTTGTCCTATTTTTGCATCTTTGGTATTTTATCTATCTATTTTATCTTAGGTATGTATCTTTATCTTTGGGCTATGCTATCAATGTTTAGAAGAGTGGTTTTTTTGTGATGTTATTTTATGTTTGCACTTGTTTTTATCATAATTTAGTTTTTCAATTCTCAAATTATTCGCCTAATTACTTCTTAAGGGCCATCCATCTATCAATTCATTTATTCATTCACGCATTCATTAATTCATTCATTCATGCATCTATCTATCCATTAATTCAGTTTAGTTTGATCTTATTCTCAATTAATTTCATAACTTCATATTCCTGTGACATGCTAATTCAACAATTATTTACACACACAAACAAACAAACAGAGCACATTTTTTGTCTTTCATCCTTAAATACGTTCAACACAATTGTATGTGCCTGCGTGTGCTGCTTGAACGGCAATGCTAACAAACATACATAGGCATAATTGCTTATATACATACACATGCATACAAGAATGATTTTCAAAAAGATAATTTTTTTCAGAACACCACAAAGATTGGTCTGACAGCGCGCTCTGGTGGCCCTCGAAGAACATGTGGCTACACAAAACTCGATCCACTCTGGATCAATACGGGATCCAAGCCGGAAGTGAACTCCACTTCGTTCCCATGCACGGATCAATCAGCGTTGTCACTCCCGACCTGCAAGTTGTCTCCATGAATGTCAATTTTTCTGATAACGTCTTCAGTGTTGTTCTCAAGATGTGCAGAGAGCTAGGTCGGTTCTCTTGGTTCTCTCTCTCTCTCTCCTTTCTTTCTCTCTCTGTGTGTATGAGTTTGTTTGTCTGTGTGTGTGTGTGTGTGTATGTGTGCAAGTTATTAGGTGGATCACCCTGTGATTTTTAAAGGAGCGACACTCATTTGTTTTGTCTTCGAAGTCGTATTTGCGTGTGCATTGCGTAGTTTTGTGTGTGTGCGCGCGCTATTATTTTAGAATTGTTTGAATGGTAGGTAAATAGAGAGAGAGAGAGAGAGAGAGAGAGAGAGAGAGAGAGAGAGAGAGAGAGAGAGAGAGAGAGAGAGGAATAAAGAGGAAGTAATATCTAATACAGCCCAGCACTTACATTCATATAATGAAACGTCTTGTGCACTGTGCGGTTTTATAACATAGCTTTAACGATAACAAACACGTGTTGTTTATCATTTGTTATGCAATACACACACGCACGCACACAGAGATACACACAGAGATACACACACACATACACAGATACACACACATACCTATGTACTTAGGCTGCTGCTGTAAAATCCATTGACCGATATATATAATCTTTTTTCGTACTCAGGGATGTTTGTGTGTATGCTTGTTTGTATGTGTTTGTTTGTTTGTATGAGTTTGTATGTGTTTGTTTGTTTGCATGTGTTTGTATGTTTGTATGTGCTTGTATTTGTCGTTTGAATGTGTGTAGTTAGGCAGATTTGCATGTGTTCTTGTTTGCTTGCCTGCTTGGTTGTTTGGTTAAATGGAGTTTTGTTGTTTAAATAAAATAGTCACCACATTGTTAATAGTACGAATATAAAGTAGTTAAATCGTGATAATAATCATCATCATCATCCGTATCATCATTATCATCACGCAAGTGATCATCATCATCATCAACATCGTCGTCATCACGGGTACCATTTTATTATCGCTGGAGTGCACGGCAAACACTTCCTCCATAGCCGCCTGTTTTCATCATCATTATCATCACCGTCGTCGTCATCATTATCATCATCGTCATCATTATCATCATCGTCGTCATCGTTATCATCATCGTCATTATCCTGACGAACTCTATAGAATATCATTTATAGTTGATTAGTTCATTTGAATTGCAGGCAGGCAGGCAGGCATGCAGTTTCATTAGGACGTAGTTAGCAGCTGTAGAGTTATTTGAGTTATTTCGTCACGTCATTCCGTCTTTCCATCCAGTGCGTTTCTTCACTCATTCATTTGTTAATTCATCGTTCATTTATTCATTAGTCCGTGCGTGCATGCATTCATTCATTCGCTTTGCAATTCTACAATCAGCCCATCAATCCATCCATCCATCCATCCATCCATATGAACATGCAGGGATACGCCATGCGGAAGAACTTTCTTTATACCGACTCTTGGAGCCGGACGATTTGAAGCGGAACCACGGCATATCGGCCCATCGCCGCTCCAAACAGCCCACCTCACCCTACAGCCCTCAAACACCAAATAGCGCCAGCAACGGCACATCTCCGTTTTCTCCTAATTTCAGAGGTTCCGGAGTTTTTGCCAGGAATTCCAAACACAATTCATTCCTGGGGGACGGTGCGACCAGCAGGTTGGGATCGTTCCGCAATAGTTCCTATCAGATTTCCAGTCCTGGCAAGTTTAGTCTCAGTAGGAAGATTAGAGGATCTAGAGTAAGTGCTGTTGGCTGGTTGGGTGGTTTGTTGGTTGGTTGGTTAATGTTTTGAATTTGGATAGACGTTTGATTGGTGGATGAATGACTGGATGAATGGCTAGTTGATTGTATGATGGGTGGATGGGCTATGGATGGGTTCTTTTTAAACTAATAATCATTCAATGTCATATTTTTAATTCAGCATCGTTTTGAAAACTGGCAGGCCTCCCTCATGAGAACAGGTAGTACCCCCCTCTCTCCATACTCCCCCCTCTCCCCGTACTCCCTCCTCTCTCCCCACTCCCCTCTCCACACATCCACCTCGGTGACGAATCCCGGATCTATAAATAGTTTGTTATTTAGGTCAAGTCATGACCTTGCCAGCAGTCCGTGGGTTTCCTACAGGGAAGCCTTCAACTTCTTGCTAAGACCGAAGGGTTACGCCGAGAAAGCTAGATGCAATGCTGGGTTCGTTTGACTGGGGGTTGAATGAGTGAATGAAAGAAAGAATGAAAGAATGAATGGATAGATGAATGAATGAATGAATGAATGAATGACAACCACCAATAAAAATTCAACAGCTGGTTGGATTCATCGACGAGCCTGATGGAGCAGGAAATCTATCCGAACTGCCTGGTCGGAATGAAATTCAAATTTTTCAACATCTACGACATCAATTCTAAAGTTAGTGGATTGATTGATTGGTTGATTGATTGATTGATTGATTGATTGGTTGATTGGTTGATTGATTGATTGATTTATTGATTGATTGACTGACTGATTGATTGACTGACAGTTGGATGGCACACGCATCAACCAACTGTACGAGCAAGCTAAATGGTCCATTCTGACGGAAGAAGTTGATTGCACGAGAGAAGAGGCCATTTTGTTTGCCGGACTACAGGTTTTTCTACGTCATCATCATCGTCGTCATCATCATCATCGTTATTATTATCATCATTTTTATCATCGCTATCATCGTCATCATCATCATCATCCCATCCCCCAGTTGCAAATTATGCAGCAGCAATCAAAGTGGTCCGAAGACACAGCATCAACAATCACTTCCGCCTCAATTGCAACAACAACAACTCTGCAAAAACAACATCAACAACAACATCAACAACAACAACAACATCATCAACAACAACAACAGCAACAACAACAACAACAACAACAACAACATTTCAACACTACAATACTATTTCTAACAGAAATAGCAAACACCCTCAATACAAGAAATCAAATCCCCATAATAAATAATTACGACACTTCAATTTTACTAACAAACAACGGAATAGGTAGTACCAGTAGTCTTTGCAACAACAACAACAACGGCCACTTAAATACCATCAGCAATGCAAACAACAACAACGACAAGGCTCTTTTTAGTCCTATAAAAAAACCAACTGATCGTCACGTGGGTTTTATGGCTGGTAGTAATGGTAGTAATTTTGAGGGTTATACATTCAGTAATGTAAAGAGTAATTTTGACGACAACAACATCAACAACAACATCAACAACAACAACAACATCATCAACAACAACAACAGCAACAACAACAACAACAACAACAACAACATTCGAGGCGACAGTTCAGCCATCAAAACGAGCAGCCCATCAAGGCTAACAATAACGACAACCTTTGGCTGCGATGATGACGTCATAACAACGACGTCATCAACTAATGACGGCCACTCTAACAACTTCAACCAGCCAGATCTGACCTCTCCATCCAATCACAACCGTCTAAAACATTTGGACCAATTAAATCAGTCCTCTTCGACCTATCGCAGCCAAGTTAAGAATTGCAGCCAATCAGATTTGCCTTCTCCGACCAGTCACAGCCCTCCTCTTCCTCCGAAGCCGCTTCCACCGCCACGCCAATCAAGTCACCATCACGTGACGAAGGAGGAGGAGCTAAGTGGCTACCTCAAATTTTATAGGTTGGTCGTGTATCACGTGATGTTCATTTATTTTTACGAAACAATTTTTGCAAAATTAGCTGATAATAACTAATTTTAAATATAAATTTTTGAAAAAGTTTTACGTACTATTTTTAAAATTATTGAATAAAATGTTTTTTCCTCTAATAGGCCCAAGAAATTCTTGCTGAAAAATTACAAGAGGTATTACTTCATCTTCAAAAATTTGAGCCTCACTATGTTCAAGTACCCATCTGACACCCAACCCTTGCTACTGATCAATTTGAAAGGTACGTTTGTACGTTCGTCTGTCCATATTTATGTATGTTTGTTGTTCGTTCGTTGGTTCGTTTTTGTTCATTTGTATCTAACAGTTTTCGTACGTGTGATGATGAATTACTATGGTGATAAGTATGAATAATGACAACAACGACGATGATGATGATGGTGATTATGATGATGGTGACGATGATGATGATGATGGTGGGGGTGCTAAACAGGCTACTCAGTGTCCACGGAGATTCTGCTGTCCAGTCAGAAGTACGTGATCAAGTTGAGGCTTCCCTCACTCAGAGGCTCTGCTGCCGAGGAGATGTGGCTCAAGATGGACTGCGCAAGTTTTGTTGTTGCCATCGCTAGTGTTGCAAACATTATCGTCATCAATTCAATCACTGTAGTTTCATCATCTTCATCATCTTCCTCCTCATCATCTTCGCCACCACAATGACCGCCACAGGAGGACCAGTTTGTAGAGTGGCTGTCTGGACTTAGACTGGCCAGCCAGGGCGTCGGAATGGAGGAGCGGGACCTCGTGCGTCTAGAGATCCAGAACATCAAGACATCGATTGATAACATCAGGAAGACTTTCAACAACAACAACAACAATAGTAACAACAACAACAACAACAATAGTAACAACAACAACAACAACATTAATAACAATAATAATAATAACGAAAGTAACGGTAGCTGCAGCAGTAGTAGTGCTGTCAGCAATGGAATGAAAGAAGGTACGTAGCTGAATGAACATCTCGATCATTAGTTATGTGTGGATGTTTACATGCTTTAAATACTTTATAGGTGATCTATTCAGCATCCCACAGCAACAATCGCCTGCACTACAATCGCCTCAACAGCAGCATCAACAGCTTCAACAACAAAATGATTTTAAAAGATCAGACTCAAGTAAAGTTAGAAGGTCCTTCATGTTTCGTAAGAAAAAAAACAAAGATGAACCAGTGAACAGTGCAAACATCAACAACAACACAAACAACAATGCCAACTCTACTAGTAGCATGGATATCATTGATGCTCCCTTCACATCTTTATTGAGAAAACGCCACAACAACCACAACAGTATTACGACAACGATGACTACCGCAAACATGGAAGATAATAATAATAATAATGACGATACGGCGACGATTCACTCGACGTCATCTTCAATGAACTCCATCAACCGAACATCGAGTCGAAACAGTCTTCTCGCTGCTGCTGCTGGGGGTGGTGGGGTGTGTTTGCAGGATTTTGTAGCTGCTAGGTACTGTAGGAGGTCCAAACAAAAACAGGCTTGTCGATTGAGTGGTGGATTTGTCGATCTATCAACCATCCTATCAACCAGCCATCCAATCAATCAACCAATCGTTCAACAAACCATCCAATCATTCAGTCAACCAACCATTCCACCAACTAACCAGCCAATCAACCAACCAACCTTGCAGCTGTTGCAGAGAATCATTGAAACGCAAGAAAACTTCCAGCATGTCAGCCCACTGGACTGCAAACTGACCTACATAAAAGCCTGGCAGTCCCTGCCAGATTATGGACACACTTACTTCATCATCAAGGTCAAAGGCAACAAAAAAGAGGTCAAGAAAGTTTATTTTTTACAATCTGTAGTTGACCTATAAAATGGACGCATCGTGTAATTCATAATATTAAATTTAAAAAAATAAAAACAGGACATTTTGTCAGTGACGCCGACGAAAATAATTTTGAATGACATGAACAGCGGCGAAGTCATCAACCAATGGCGCTATCAGGTCTTGAAATCCTGGTCCGTTAATTGGGAAGCTAAACAAGTCCAGGTCAGTACGTCTGCTCATTAATATTCATGTGGGGTGCTCGCGTCTGGTCGTTTATATTAACGATTCATTCATGTTTGCTCATTAATATTCATAATTTGTTTGTTTGCAGTTGTACTTTGAGGACGGCGATTTGATATTCCAATGTTACACCGCTGACTGCAAAGTTGTGCACGAGTTCATCGGCGGTTACATCTTCCTCTCCATGAGGAGCTTCAACTGCCAGCAGAAACCTGACGAGGAACTCTTCCATCGATTGACTGGCGGCTGGCTCTGATCGCATGCATGCATGCATGCATGCATGATCCAAGGTCCTGGTGAATGAATGAATGAGTGATTGAATAGAAGAGAACAAAACTTCCAATTGTTTCATTGCGCGATTAGTCATTTCAACCCTTCAAAATTGTGAACTTGCGTGAACTTCATCAGCGTAAATAGAACGTGAGAAATTAATTGCTTTGAAGAGTTGATCGATCGTTCCACTCGCTGCATTATTTGTCCTTATATATCTTTCAGACATTTTGACGAATTTCTAACAAATACGATATACCAATAAAATTTCTTCCCATATTTGGTAAATATTCCAACATATGTACGTTTTATTTTATGTCATTTCACTTTCAATTCAGCTGAGGTGACTTGTATACACACACACACACACACACGTCCATGCCGTGTTTATTTCCGCGCAATGCGCACATGCATCACAATTAAAACATTACATACCAACTCTTTCCTTACTTCTTCGTGTATTTACGTATCAATTACTTTTTTATTATTAAAATACATTTTTTATTATTCCCATTTTACTTTCGGTTTCTTAATAAATTTTATTATTGAATAATAATCTTATTATGTAATTAATATTAATTATTATTATAGCCTGCATTTTGTTCCAACTTTCAGTTGAAGGTACGTCGCAATGCGCAAGAAATATTTTTCTATAGATATTTTTGGTTTTTCTTATTTTGTTTTTTCAGTTAATCAATAAAAATAAACTAAATAAATGAACAAAAGGATTTTATGCCTCACTCAATCCTTCATGGAAATGCAATATATATATATTACAAGTGATAAATCAATTTATCATTACAATAATGCTACCAAGACATCAGTCAATCAATTTTTATATCAATCATCCATCGATCCAGCTATCATTCTATTCATTTGTTCATACATGAATCCTTCCATTCATTCATTCATTCATCCATTCATTCATCTAGCTCTTAAGCAATTCATCTTGTTTGGCTAGCATCATATCATCAACTTTACTACAGTAATCTTTGGTAGTAGCCATGATTGCATTGTGAATGTCCAATATCAAATCTTGACTATAAGCTGCCGATGTTGAATTTTTGCCTTTCTGCTGATGCTGTTTTAAAAGTCTGTCATAATTGTTCTGGATGTTTCTCAGTTTCTCTTTGCATCTGTGTGTTTGTATATATATGTGTGTGTTTGTGTGTGTGTTTGTATGCGTGCAGTGAATACAAGATGAAGGGGTAATAGCATTGATAGGGATGTTTTGTTGATGGCGCTGATGAAGTTATCATTCGCAATAACATTTAAGATGACAAGAATGGTGGTGATGACAATAATGAAATGATAGATACTTATCACAAATTGCTTTTGCGTTCTTGGCTAGTTTCTCTCGGTGTTCTCTGGTAACTTTTTGAATAGGTAGGTACAATGTGACTCCTTCAACCTATTGTTTGTGGAATAATATTATTGTAACTATAATAAAATTATGATGAAAATTATGGGAGTAATAATAATTTTGAAGACACCAGGGACACCAACACATCCCTAACTTGTGGGGTGACATTGATTCCGGAATTGAGTATTGCTGTTTTAGCAGCATTTGTGTACTGCGGGTTTTCAATCATGTTCACTAGCATCATCTGAGGCGACTTTTGCTGCACCTTCACATGTCAATCAAATAAAAATATTTTATTATTTACAACATTTGATCAGTGTATGATGATGTTTAGGGATTATTTTAAAAAGTGTTCAACAAAAAATAATTTGTCTCACCTGCCCCAGTTGACTCAGTGGTACCTTGCCATCTTCACATTCAACGGGGATGTTGGCAACAGTACTAAGCGATAAACGAAGAGCCAGTTGTTCAGTCAGTTCCTTTTTTAAATAATTCAAAGTTGTCTCCATCTGGGTCTTCATCTTTTCAATGTCAATGATGTCCTGGATGTCCTCTGAGCTCAGGTCAACTTTCACAGATTCTTTCGACTTTTTTCCGGAATCTTTGCGGCCACCCATGCTTCTTTTTGCGTAGAAACGTTTGCATTGAAGTTGGTAAGAAGGTAAAGAAAGTGATTGATTGACGACGGAGGGGACATGGCGTCGCTGAAACGAGAACAAAGAGAGCAAGTTCTCAAAATTTTCCTCCGCCGGATTGCGTTGAAATAGCTGAAGATTACAATTAAATGAACTGGATCTGAGTTGATTACTAAAGTAATTATTAACGAAACATCTAAATGTCCATGCCGGGTTGAATGATTTAGATCGGAAAAGAATGTTTAGTGACATTCTGACCGATAAAACAAAATTTAAATGTGAAGGTAGTGTACATAGTCATTAAAAGTTTGTTTGTTTGTTTATTTATATTTTCCGGCGTTTCAGCACAAATTGGCTATCTTCACGCCCACTTCTTTCAATTTTATTTAGTTAGTAAGAAAATTCTTCTTCTTAAATTTTATAAATTAAATCAGTCTCAATCAGAAATTTTATTAAATTCTGTATGTTCATTTGGTAAAGAACTACTTCTTGCATATTCGTTGGAATGTTATGTCGTTTTCTTTGGTCGCTATATTTGATACACTCAAGGATGATGTGATGAACTGTCAGTTTTGTTCTGCTTGTCTCACAGTTTTTTTGCATCATTTTTTCTAATATCCATGAGTGAGTTATTTTTGTGTGACCAATCTTTATTTTATTTACAACTGTTTGATGTAGTCTCGGCATATTTATATTTTTTAATTCTTTGATCGGGATTTTTGGAGTTGATATTTTGAGAAACTTTTTCGTTTCATTCCATCCCTGTTGCCATAAAGAGTTGGTGTACCCTTTTATTATTGTTTTGATGTCAGTAAATGGTATTGGTATATTAGATATTGGAAGACCATGAGCTAAATTCGCTGCTGTATCTGCTTTTTCATTTTCTTTTATTCCAATATGACTTGGTACCCACACCATTTTGATATTATTGTTATTTGTTATTATGTTTTGATGTATTAAATTTTGAATCATTATTATTAATGGGTTATTGGGTCTATGATGTTTTATTGCTATTAGGCTAGATAAGGAGTCTGTAAATATGTCATTAAAAGTGTTTCACTGTCTATGCCGTTGAATTCCAAGGGAGGCCTATTCACCGATATACAACACTTTCTTATGGGTTGAAACAGGGATATGCAAAGAACCTTAATTTTTTCAACTTTTAATTTTTTTCGGTAATGTCGAAATTATTTTTTTAAATTTATACCCAATGAAAGTAATTAATTACCACATTGAATAACAATTAAAAAATATCAAAATTTCAACATTTTAAATAGAAGCAATATTCCGTAATTAGTAAATATACATACGATCGTATCGTAACTTTTGACTCAAACGATAAAAAATCACCCTCCAGCTCCCCTCCGAAAGTAAGCACCTTGTTCGACCGTTGAAAGTGAGCGAAGGCCGTTATATTTATTCAAGTTATATGTATCAAACAGTATCTTATTGAACAAGTCGTATCATAAAATGAATAAAGATACTTTTATCAAAAATTTAAAAAATTTTCAATTTGATTTCATTGCGATATCGATGATGATGATGATTGTGACCCGACTAATTAAAAAATATCAAATAAAATTTATTAAATAGGATGGGTAATTCATTCTGAAATCGTTGGAGGAAACGACGTCATGTTAACAGTAGTTATTTTACTGCATGGCAGTTAAACAGCGGTATAAAGGTTATATTATAGTTATATGGTTATATTCAATTCCTATCAATTAAATTTGACAAAATATCATACGCAGGCAGAACTAAATAAAGAAATAGAGAGATACATAGATATATATACGTAGTTATATTACATTTATAATGTTTTATTTACACATTCAAATTGTACAATTGTGTTATGGTCCATGGTGTAGTCTCAAGTTATTTTGAATTCTCTCAGGAAAGTATAAACTTTTTACTATATAGGTACTAGTTACTTTTATCAACAATTTTTAAAAAATTTTCAATTTGATTTCATCGCGATATCGATAATGATTTTTGTGACTTGACAGATTAAAAAAGCATCAAAGAAAATTTTTAAAATAGGATGGAGAATTTGTTATATTGGGATATTTGTATATAAAGCGAGAAAAAATTTAATATAAAAGCGTTTATAAATCTACGCATACTGGCTCAGCTTGGCTTAGCTTGGAATTGGATGCTAAGCAAGATGTGGTCTCAAACTATTTTGAATTCTCCCCGAAAAATGTGAACTGCGTGCGTACATATATAGCACTGTTGATCCATTTATACAAATAATTAATAAGATTATATGTTTATATAAAAAGCAATATAGCAGATTCAACCAGCTAACCAGAGAGTTTCGAGCTGAGCCAATTTAATATAAGTAAAAGTCTGTGCTGAGCCAATTGAATATAGGTAAGTTAGAGTCTGAGCTGAGCCAATTAAATATAGGTGAGTGAGAAATTGAGCTGAGCCAATTAAATAAAGGTAAGTTAGGGCCTGAGCTAAGCCAATTAAACATAGGTAAGTTAGGAAATGAGCTGAGTTAATTGAACATAAGTAAGTTAAGAACTGACTTGAGCCATCTGAACATAGGTAAGTTAGAGACTGAGCGGAGCCATTTGAATATAGATATGTTAGGGACTGAGCTGAGCCATTTGAATATCGATAAGTTAAAGACTGAGCTGAGCCAATTGTATATTAGGTAAGTTAGCAACTGAGCTTATTTAATTGATTGTACAGCATCAAACAGTATCTTATTGAACAGGATAGTATCATTAAATGAAATAAGTTACTTTTATCAACAATTTAAAAAAATTTCAATTTGATTTCATCGCGATATCGATGATGATGATTGTGACCTGACCGATTAAAAACGTCAAAGAAAATTTTTAAAATAGAAAAGAGAATTTGTTACGAAATCGTTGGAGGAAATGAAATATTTTTTAAACTCATTCGCGTTATTTCTTTGATATCGATATTGAAGATATTCGTATATAAAGCGAGCAAAATTTTAATATAAAAGCGCTTATAAATCTACGCAGATTGGCTCAGCTTGGCTTGGCTCGGCTCGGCTTGGAATAGGATGTTAAGCAAGGTGTGGTCTCAAACTATTTTGAATTCTCCTCGAAAAAATTTGAACTGTAAAGTATCTAGAATCCATGTATAATAATTAATAAGATTATATATTTATATAGAAAGCAATATAGCAGATTCAACCAGCCAATCAGAAAGTTTCAAAGGCGTTCGTTCGATGACGTCAATTTAGTACGGACAGTTAGCGTTGTGGTTAAGACTGTATAATAGTGTAGTACCTACATTAAATAAGTTTTTTACTGATGTGAATGAATGAAATGATAAGAATATATGGTTGAAACGAGTATAAATAGGAGCTGAGACAACATGAAAATCAGATCAGGCATTCTGCCTCGCTTGAAGCAGTCTGTCTGATCTCATTTATTTTATTTTTATTTTTTTATTTATTTTATTATATAGAGTTATATAGGGTTATATAGAGTTTGCATGTCTGTGGTTTGTGTGTTGTATTTTTTTATATTTTAGGTGGGTTCTTTAGCGGTTGCTCATGCATACATACATACATACATACATCATGTTTGTTTGTGTGGTGGTATTTTTTTTGTTCTGTTTTACTCCTTTTTCTCTTTCTTCATGAGCCTTGAGTTAAGTTAATGAAACATAGGTAGGTGAGGTAAAAATTAATTTATTATATAGGTAGGCTAGGGCATAAGGTAATTTAGTTACATAGGTAGGTTAGGGACTTCTTTTCTCTTACTCTACTTGGTGGTGTGTTTTTCGTTTTGTGTTTTTTTTTTGTTTTACACTATACATTCAACAGGTACGCGGTGGTTCCTGGTTTTAGTGAAATTTTTATTGATTGAATGTGGTAGTATGCATGGTTATATAGAGTTATATAGAGTTATATAGAGTTATATAGAGTTATATAGAGTTATATAGAGTTATATAGAGTTATATAGAGTTATATAGAGTTATATAGAGTTATATAGAGTTATATAGAGTTATATAGAGTTATATAGAGTTATATAGAGTTATATAGAGTTATATAGAGCATAAATCCTATATAGATGTCTTTCTTTGAGGTTCTTTTCTTTGCCGACCGGTCGGCTTCTTTGAATTTCTCTATTTTCATTTTAATTAATTAAATAAGATTTTTCCATTAATTTAGGTTCATTCAGGTTCGTTCATTCAGGTTGAAGCTTCCAGAGGAGTTCGTTGTAGAAGAAAAGTAATGTTGTGATGTCACGCTACGTTCATTCATTCAGTGGCAAAGAATGCATGCCTGGCTGGGGTTCGTTTTACGGTTTCTTTGCGGTTCCTTTTTTTGCCAGTTGGCTGGCTTTTCCAGCTGGCGGGTTTCACCGCGGCTCGTTTCTCTATTTTCATTTAAATAATTTAAATAAATAAGATTTTTACATTTTATCCATTTCATTCAGGTTGAAGCTTCCAGAGGAGTTCGTAATGGAGGATGTCAGGCTACGTTCGTTCATTCAGTGGCACACACGCCTGGCTGGGATACGTTTTATTCTTTTTCTCTGTAATTTAGCATTAAGTAGGAATGCTCACACGCACACACACGCACACACAATAACATTAAGTAGCTATATAGGTAGGTTAGATAGGCATAATTTTAATTGTAGGTAGGATATTAAAGAAGCATCCAACACTAATGTAGTTGAATAGGTAGGTGCGTAAGTTTATCTCTTCTATTTTTTTCTTGCACTCATATTACACGCATCAGCGTATTACACACACATACAAATACATACATAAACACATATATTAGTATTTGAGCGTAATTTTATTTTCATTACACATTCTAATTTATTATTACTAAGGTTGAGAGTAATTTAATTTCATAGGTAGTTAAGGGTAATAATGTAATTCTAGGAACAATCTTGTAATGTAAATTAAAACGCTGTAAGTGTATCGATAGGTAGGTTAATTATAAGTTTTACATTATTATTATTATGTTGGAGCCCAAGGCATTACGTAGGTGGTGGGGTGGGTGCCGAAAGGCCAATGAATTGGGCTCTTGAGTTTTGTAATTTTAGGTAAGCTAGGACCATAATGTAATGAATAGGTAGGTTAAGGTTACGTTGTAACACATACTCATTAATAGATTTAGGGTTTAAGTTTTATATTATTATTATTAAGTTGGAGCCCAAGGCATTACGAAGGTGGTGGGGTGGGTGCCGATTGGCTAAATGAATTGGGCTCTTGAGTTTTGTAATTTTAGGTAAGCTAGGGCTTAATTGTAATGAATAGGTAAGTTGAGGGTACGATAGCCGATTGACTCTGGATTTCAAAGTCTCTTGTCAGAGGTAAGCCTTGGTGGCCAGTGGTGAACCGGCAATGGTTTACTATCCGGACGGCAATGGTTTACTATCTGCACGGTAATGATTTACTATGCGGCATGCCCATAGTCTACTACCCGCACGGCTTCCGGACGGCAAATGGTTTACTATCCGCAAGGCAATAGTCTACTACCCGCACGGCAATGGTTTACTATCCGGTGCCCTGGCTGTCGGTGAACCTCTGTGCAAGGAGGGAGAATGAAGGGGGACTTTCGACTATCGTACCATTAACAATTTTATATAGATTAGTTAAGGTAATTGAATAGGTAGATAGGATTATTTTTATTAAACAATTTGAGACGCAGGCACCGCTAAGCTTTCTGATGAGAATCTTCTCTATTTTTCTCCCTCAATACGGGCTGTGTTTCAACAACAATCTCGAGGAGGACTGGCACCAGTTTTGGAGGACAACGTAGGAACCGGAAGGCATTCAACATTCTGCTTTTGTCGAATTGACGACAGTAAGTTTTTTTTTACATTTTACTCTCTTTATTATTTTAAAATATTTTTTTGCCATTATTTTCATTTTATAATTTTTTGCTTCTAAGATTCTAACATTCATTTACTACTACGCTAATAAAAAATTTTGTCCACAGAATGATGAGAGGTGGGCAGTGGTGGGAATCAGCATGTTTCAGATGGTGGTCTCATGATGATTTACACATGATGATCGTGGAAGAATCAGCTTTTTCGCTGACAATCTGCAGTTCGGATGAAATCTTGTGTGCCGACCAGACGATTGTGGTCGGTGCAATGGAGTACAGTAACGACGATTTTTGAAGTAAGGTTTAGTTCCGTCTTTTAATTTTTCTCATTCCTTCATTTTATCACTCAATCTTTCAAATTATTTTTCCATTAATTTATTTTTTTAATCATTGAATCATTGATTGATTACTTACTTAATTAATTCATTCATTCACTCAGGCATTCAACATTCAACATTCTACCTTTGTCGAATGGACGAAGGTAAGTTTTTTTTTACATTTTACTCTCTTTATTATTTTAAAATATTATTTGCCATTATTTTCATTTTATAATTTTTTCTTCTAAGATTCTAACATTCATTTACTACTACGCTAATAAAAAAAATTTGTCTACAGAATGCTGAGAGGTGGGTTGTGGTGGGCGTCAGCACGTTTCAGATGGTTGTCTCATGATGATCGTTCCGATGACAATTCGAAGATGACAACAAGAAGTTACTGGAGACTACACGCGCGCACATTTACGCACATACATCAATACAACACACACATACATAACATCCATTCATTCGGTGTCGTTGTTGTTATGTTCTCTTCTACTTTTTTCTATCTTTACAGGACTTTAATTTAATTCGTAGGTAAGTTAGGGATTGAGATGAGTTAACAATTGTAGGTAGGCTAGGGCTTAACATTAGTTAAAAAGTTTCAAGTAAAATAAAAACTTTAAAATATGTAAAATAAAATACTTGAAACTTGTAAAATTCCTAAAACTTAGAAATACAAATTTGTAGGTAGGTGAGATGAGTTAATCATTATAGGTAAGCTAGGGCCCTGAGAGTAATTTAATTGTAGGTAGGTGACTGACTACTATTCTTGGGACTTCTTACTAGTTTTTTATGATGTGTTTGTTTGTTTTCGTTTCACAGCACCACAAAAACAAAACAAACAACATTTTATTCTCGTCGTCGTCTTAAATTAATTTATTTATTTATAAAATGTTGACTGGTAGTTTTTTTTAATTTGGTTATATAATTTTTGGATATTTCTTGATTTACTTTGTATATATGCATGTATAAATAATTTCTGTTTGTTATGTTGATTTAGTCATTATGATATGCTGTGGGCTGTTCTTACTAAATGTTATTGTTATGAGAATCATTTTCCGAGAACTACTAAGGATTGTGTATAATAATAATATTAATGGATAATAATTATTTTGTATCGGTCGATATTTTGTTATATTTGGTTGTTTAAAATATGAAAATTGACGTTTTTAAACTTCCACTTAACCGTCACTTTTTGTTTTTGAATGTATTCAAATAAAAGCAACTATTGTGTTTTTCTTTCTTTACTAATATCTCGAAAACCGCTATCATAAGAGTTCTATGAAACCCTGTAAGCCACTGCATGCCAACAATAACGTTCCAAGCATGTCAAATAGCCCGACCGATTGATCGAATTGATTCAAGTTATTTGCGTGGAGCCATCAACCCAAGAAAGTCAAATAAGCTGACCCTTGCCGGACACATTCCTATGTTTATTTTCAGGTTTTAAAAGTGCATTCGATTAAAATGGATGTCTCTGAGTTGCTAGCTTTTCAAGTAATTAATTACTTAATTTAAACATTTTTTTTTCAATTTAATTTATTCATAACATCATTTTAATTTATTCATAACATCATTTAAACAAAATTTAAACTAATTTATAAAAAGGTTATGTTTAAATTTTTATTTTTACAACGTAGCCGGACAAGCCGTCGGCCGGTTTTGTTCCGTCATCACCAGCGCCATCTTCCGCTAATCTGAAAAGAAAACGTCGACTGGACGATGAAAGCGTGAAGAGTAGTAATGTCATACTCGAGAAGCGGTCAGTGGTGGCTCCAGCAGTCAGCAGTTTGTTGCAGCCATCGTCGTCGTCCTCTCTTTCTACATCTGCTGGTCATGTTGCTGCTACTGCCAGTTCAAGTAAAACCACCAACAAGATCTCTTCAACCGTCAATGAAACGAGGGAGAAGGTAGCAAAAATTCTTGAGGATGATTCTACAGAGGTCGCTTTTCATTGAAATTTCATCTGATCATTTTATATTTGATTTTAATTAATTTAATATAATAAGGAGATAAAAACATATTTCTGAATCTGCTGCTGATTTGTCGTGAATATTATACTGTATTATGCTCATATTATAAATTATAAAATTATTAATATTAATATTTAATCTAAAAAGAGTTAAATTATTTCGTAATAGTCTGACATTTTAGACGAGGGTACAGTGAGGAGGCTGATTATTCAGTTTGAGAAAAGGTACCAAAAGAACCAAGAGATGCGAATCAAATATCCTGATGCTCCAGAGAAGTGATTGACATTTATTTTTTATAAATTAAATTAGTTTAATACTTTCATATTAAACTTCCTTTTAGAAAAGAAGTTAGTTCACCACTAGTGTGCTAATTGTAATTCTAATTTTGTTCATACCTATTATTATGTATCTCCTTATTCACATCACCCTAACCCCCCACACCTGCCTAACCAACAGATTCATGGAATCGGAAATTGAACTGAACGACACAATCCAAGAAATGCATATGATTGCTTCCATGCCTGAGACGTATGAGATTGTGATCAGAGGCAGTACTACAATACAGACATTACTACAACTACTCAACCATGAAAATACTGGTCTGTAATTTTCAACCATGTTTCAGTCGCTAGTATTTAGCAGTTAGTGTTTGGTAGTTAGTGAGTTTCATTTTAACACTAGACTGAAATTATATTTTCTTTTGCTGCTACTCAGCATCCAGTGTAGAAATGTTATTTTTATTTAATAATTCTAATGGTGTGTTAAACATTTTATAATATATATTCAAATGTATTTCATTTATGAAATGAAATGATTCAATTTTCTTTAAAAATCTCTGCCTATATTACGTCTTAAAAAATGTTGTTATACATTTATACATACACACACGTGCACGAACACACACACGCACACATCTCCACACACACAACACACACACACACATCCCCACACACACACACACACACACACACACATCTCCACACATGCACAGATGTATCTATAGCAGTTGTGGACCTGTTGAAAGAGATGACCGATGGTGACGTGATGGATGATAATGAAGAAGAAGCTGAGATGTTGATTGATGCACTGGTCTGTTAACATCATAATGACCATAATTATAATAATATTATAGGTAATAATAATTTTTATTATATTAATAATTTTTTCTACAGCTCCAAGGACAGATATTGGCATTGTTGGTCCAGAATTTAGAAAGATTAGACGAAACGTTGAAAGAAGAGGCCCAAGGCATTCATAATTCATTAGGTTGGTACCAATTTACCTTCTTTAGTTAGGCAGGGGCTTATATAAGTGCCTTTATTTATACCTAAGCTTATCCCTTTATAAATGTACATCATTCATATGTAGTTGCACAGTTTTAAATGGATTATCTCAATACATACTGTAGTGTAAGGTTCTTGCTTGTGTGAACATCTTGGTCTGTATGTAGGTGTATTTATATGTGTTTATGTTTGTGTGTTTTTGTTTGTTTGTAGGTATGTTTGTTTGTATGTATGTTTGTATGTTTTCTTGTATAAATGTATGTATGTTTGTATGTATGTTTGTTTGTTTGTATGTATATTTGTTTGTATGTATGTATGTATGTTTGTTTATATGTTTGTATATTCAATCTAATGTTCCAAACAGCAATACTGGAGAACATGGTTGAATTGAAACCAGAAGTTAGCCTGCAAGCGGGCCAACAAGGATTTCTGCAGTGGATTGTTAATAAATTGAAGGTTTGTGTGTGTGTGTTTGCGTGTGTGTTTTTTGTATGTTTGTGTGTGCGTGCGTGTCTGTATGTGTATGTATGTATGTTATCACATCTTATAACATTATCATGATTTCTCCATTTTAGATGAAGGCACCATTTGATGATATAAGATTGTATTGCTCAGAAATACTATCAATACTGTTGCAGATGTATCAAGGTTTCATATCTATGTTTCTTTCTGTTTGATGTTTGATTCTTTGTGCGGTGTTTGTATTTTACACAATTGTTCTGATATTTTATATGGCGATTTGAATTGGGAATTTTTTAATTGGGACGAAATCTTGTCATGAAAAAAGAGTGTGTGAAATCGCCTGGTTGATGTTAGTTGATTCATAAGTTTATCGATCGATCGATTGATTAGTTAAATGATTGATTGTGTAATTGATTATATATATATAATTATTGGTTGTACTGTGTGTGTTATATTGAATTTATTTGCATAGAGAACCGACAGATACTAGGCGAGGTAGATGGGATTGACGTTTTACTCTCACAACTTTCGGTTCGTTAATTGGCTGTTTGATTGGTTGGTTGGCTGTTTGATTGGTTGGTTGGCTGTTTGATTGGTTGGTTGGCTGTTTGATTGGTTGGTTGGCTGTTTGATTGGTTGGTTGGATGTTTGATTGGTTGGTTGGCTGTTTGATTGGTTGGCTGGCTGTTTGATTGGTTGGTTGGCTGTTTGATTGGTTGGTTGGCTGGTTGGTTGGTTGATTGATTTATTAACCATTTGACCTACTTATCAATCAGTCATTCCCAACCATTCAATTGAAACGCGAGAACAGATCTTCAAGAAGCATGACCCGTCGACACCAGAGGAAATTGAATACATGGAAAACCTCTTTAACTCACTCTGCTCATCACTCATGCTTCCGACCAATAGGACGAGGTTTCTGAAAGGCGAGGGTCTACAACTCATGAATCTTTTGCTAAGGTTTGTTCTGATTGGCTGCCTGGTTCGAATGCTGATTGAAACGACATTAACAATTGACGTTTCAATTGACACTAACAGCATCATCATCAACATCACCATCACTTAGGGAGAAGAAGAAACTCTGTCGCACGAGTGCCATAAAAGTTTTGAACCACTCGATGGTTGGTTCGGAGGGTGTGGACAACTGCAACAAGTTCATCGACATCCTGGGTCTGCGGACCATCTTCCCACTCTTCATGAAGCCGCCACACGTACATAAGAAGGCGGGTCCAAACAAGCAGGAGTTGGAAGGTGATCATGATGATGGTGATGTCATTGCCACTGCAACCAGCTGACACACGCACACGCACACACATCACAACAAACAAACAACCAACCGACAACAACAACAACAACAGAGCACATCGTCTCGATAGTGGCCTCCCTAGTTCAGAACAGTGAAGGCTCCCAGAGACAGCGTCTCCTCAACAAGTTCACCGAAAATGACCATGAGAAGGTCGACAGGCTGATGGAGCTGCACTTCAAATATCTACAGAGGGCTGAAGCTGTCGAAGCGGACATTGAGAAACAGAGGGAGGTTAGGGCTGCTATCTACTGCTCTTTTGGTGGTGTTGCACTCTGCCCCCGGGAGTTTATGATGATGATGATGGTGATGATGATGATGTTTGTACCGGAAGTTCATAAAAAATTATCCTTACCACCCCACGCTCGAAGGCCATCCAATCACAGGGCAGGTCGCTAACAGCTGATGACGAGGATGAATTCTATATGAATAAATTGGAGGTAATTACTATTATTATTATTATTATTATTATTATGATGATGATGATAGCGGTGATCTTGATAACGATGATTTATATTTCGCCACAGGCCGGTTTATTTACGCTCCAACTGGTCGACTACATAATCGTGGAAGCATGCCTGCTATGTCCAGATACTGCTAGCATTTTTCTTCTTCTTCACCTTATTATTATTATTATTATTATTATAACTATTATTTTTATTATAAATATTATTTTTATTATAAATATTATTTTTATTATAAATATTATTTTTATTATAAATATTATTATTATTATTATAACTATAATTATTTTTACTGTTTGACTGACAGGTCAGAGGCAGAGTCATGCAGATATTGAACTTGAGAGGGGGAACTGTGCAGACTATTAAGAATATCATGAAGGGTTCTTATAATTAATTATTATTACTGTTTATTGCTATAATTAATAATAATAGTAATAATTATTCTTAATTAATAATTAAATAATAATAATTAGCTATTGTTGTTATAGTTGTCTAGGCGTTATCGTTATCAGTATAGCTTTTATACATATAATTTGTGTGTGGTTTTTTGGAAAGTACCTTCTATAAGTTTAATTTCTTGACTGTGTTGTGTTTTTATGTTTCTATTCCTACATTCATTCATTCATTCATTCATTCATTCATTCATTCATTCATTCATTCATTCATTCACCCATTCGTCCATCTAACCACAGAATACGCAAGCAGTATTGGCAGCGTGGATATCTCTGCCAGTCAGAAAGTTTTGCAAGAAAGACTCTTCCAATTGGTTGACAGATTTTGATGATGATGATGACAATAATAATAATTATAATAATAATAATGATAATAATAATGGTGTGAATGGCATGATTTTTACATTGACAGACAGATGATCAGTTACCTTTTCAAGTTTTAATTTTTCTCAATTAAAAACGAATCGAGTAGGCTATGTTCATGAATGCATGCATGCATGGTTGAATGAATGGTTGAATGAATGAATGAACGAATGAATGAATGAATGGTTGAATGGATGAACGGTAATAAAAGAATGAACTTTTGATTTTATCAAAACTTTCAAGAAAAAGTGAAAAGATTTTTGGTTTGACCTACATAATGGAATCACCGACATTCACAGTGAGGAGAGCTGTCATTAAATAATAATGCAAGTTAGATTAACCGTTATGTCAATCAGTTTCGTGCTGAGCTAAGTGTCAAACAGCTGTGGATATATATGAATGGTCCATTGCTTATTGAGATGCATTAGAATGGATACATCTATCAATTTATTTCGATGCACACACATGCACGCATACACTCGTACGTACAGAATGAACTCTGAAATTTAGATGAAAAGTTTTATAATTGAAACGAAGGAGCCGTTATTTCAATAAATTGACGTTATCGTCGTCATCTCGCTTGAAACTTTCGTCATTGCGTGACGTCACATCCGGAAAATTTTCACTCCCGGGCGCCGTTTTAAAAGATGGCGACCCGCCAAAGAAAGATGGGAGAATGGTGGGTGGAATGCTGAACGATGAAAATGCTGACGATGATTTGTGACATTTTTTTTTCAGGTTGCTATCGAGCGTGCGATGTTTCGCTGCGTTTTTGACGTCGTCGCTCGTGGAGTAATCTTTCTTGCTGTTGTCCGTGCGGCAGTCCTGCATGATGCTGAAGTCGTCTGGGACCATGTTGCATGGGTTCTCGACGATGCTGCAGTTGCTTCCGACGATGTTGAGGCCCTCGTTGTACGTGAGGTGGCCGTCTGTGGTCTTTCCATTCGCTGCACAGATGCAACAAAACTTACTTTCGAAGGGGTTGTCGATGTTGCTGGCCGTCCAGTCGTTCGCACACACGCAGCTGTCAACACTCTGCTTTCCAACGCTTTCAACATTCATCCTTCCCACGTCCAACTTTGCCATTTGGTAGCCTGTCGTGAAATGCAGCTGTTCGCCAGAGTACATCACGTGACTTCCGGTGTCCTGCAAGCTGGCCACTTTGGCTGGCAGTGTCTTGGAGCCGGTTCTGCTGCTGTAGACTACGGAGTAGTTTTTCAAGATTTTGTTGTTGTTGTTGATGTTGTCGTTGTGGTTGTTGTTGTTGTTGTAATTTTTTATGTTATTGCTGTTGTTGTTTGCGCCGGCAACATTCTCACCAGCATTAATATTGCCGCCGAGTTTTCGGTGAAAAGATATTCTACTTTTACTACCACCGCTTTTTAAAAATTTACCATTAACTACCGGGTCACCGGAAACAGTTACAAAACCATTCCCATCAATGGCAGAGCTTCTTCTTATACCTCCGTTAATATGATTGGTTGTTGAATATAGACCGTAATGTCGTGAGTTGTTGTTGTTGTGATCGTTAGTTGATGTATTGAATGAGCGGAAGTTGCACGCTGTTGCTACTGTTGTTGTTGTTGATGATGGTGATGTGAGAGCCCGGTGTTCGCCCAACGACGGCGAGTTCTGACTCTTCTTGCGCCATCTTGTGATGGGGGGGGGGGTCATTTTTTCGTTCATTTTTATTCCATTTCACGTTCGTTTAAATTATGTGGTTGTTAGAAGTTACATTAAACACGACATGCCAGCTCATGAAAAACATACGTACATACATACAAACAAACATATACACACATATATGTATGTATGTATGTACAAAAAATATTATGAAAAAAATTAATTAACGTAAAAACGAAATTACTGGAGAAATGCGATGAAACTCAACTGAACGAACCTCTTGACATGCGCAATGCACGCCATGATGGCGATGACGTAGATGACGGTAACTATGGCGACGCCGAGTATGATGGCGATGGACAGGCCTGGAGTGGGTTAAAGAGAGCGCTAATTATAATTATTTATTTCCGGTGAGATGATGGGGCGGTGGGGAGAGGATGACAGCGCTGATGAGGATGCTGTGAGGTCTGATTTTGTGAGATGATTTATAAAGTCCAACGAACCCAAATTCGGCAGGCCGAGCCATTCTCTGTAGGTTTCAAGAAGTGATCTCGATCTATCTGTCAAATTATTGTCATCCATTATTTAATCAATTTTTATACTTTCAAGTTAAAAATTTTCATTTTTGCAGTTTGCAGATTAAATTATAACAAATTGTGCGTATGTAGCATCTCGTGTTTGATTATTTATTACTGTTTAAATGATCAGTCGGTTGCCAGCATTGTACGGACGGTTCAGAATTGATGCCAACAACATCAAAAGTTTCAACGTATCCACAATTATTTTTTTGTAAAAAGTATAAAAATAATATAAATTGAATTCAATTTATTGAAAAAAAAAACAAACAGAAAGAAGAAGAAAATGGTTTTTATATTCGAGTGAGTCAATTTAAAATAGAATCGGATCTCGAAAGGGAACCGATTAAAAATCGGATCAAGTGCAAAGATCGGTTATTCACTTCCGCTTCACTCGCCCATCACTGAATCGTCACGCATCATCAAGCGCTTTAAATTTACGCAAGCGCACTAAAGGCTACAATCGTTAAATCCATTTCCGGTCTTCGTTATCTTATCGTTATTTGTGATCTTTCGATCGCAGCTGGTTCGAACTTTCGATTTATTGGCCTGAGTTTTTTCGGCAGTCAGGAATAGCCTGATTTAATTTTAGACGGCGGAAATATATTTCAGGAAATTTTTTTTATTATCTGAAATTTTTAGTTGTATATTTTCTTCATCATTATCATCACCATCATCGTCGTCATCATCATCATCACCATCGTGATGTTTCAATAAAGAGATAAAGGCACTTCTCAAGAGTAGCCGAACATTTGCTCAGCAGGTAGAAATTAATTTATTGTGCCTATGTATGTGCGTTTGTACGTGTACGTGTGTGTGTACGTGTGTGTGTACGTGTGTGTACGTGTGTATACCTACCAGCGTTGGAACAATTTTTCACATCTCCTCGCCAGTCCTCTCCATCGCAATAAAGGTAAAACATCTCACCTGTAGACGTAATATGTATGTATATATATATATATATATATATATATGATATGTATATATATATATGATATGTATATATCACATATATATGTGTATGTGTTTGTATGTGTGTAAGACTGGTATGTTTAATACAACATTTCATTATTTACACTGAACAATTTCAAGGCAAACAGCAATTTAAAGACGGAAGAAGATCATAAATAAGCAAACAACGAACCGACCAGTCGCATTGCAGTATGATCTCAACCGCCCTTTCAGGTCAGGGGTCACGTGCATGCTGTTGAGGGGGGCCAGTGGCGGGCACCCGGAAGCTAATTATGTTAAGGGTGGTAGGTATGTAAAAGTTTACCGTATTATGATTAATTTAAATGTTAAAATGTAATTGTTATCAAAATCAGTCATTTTGAAGTTTTAAAAATGTTACTAAAATGTTTATCTGATTGAATTCAAAATGTTTCACAGGCCTTCATATCGTATCAGATATCTATAGGGCCAGCCATTATAAATCACCACGTCAACCTGATTGGTGCTCGAAGTGTACACGTGACTAACTCTCGACCAATGACAGAGTTTCGTCGTCAGTGACGTCATAGTGTTGCACTGGGGGCATATTATTTTTGTTGTTTTGATCAGCGGCTCCGTGATGCTGATGAGGACGACGTTGCTGGCGTCCTGGTCGATGACTTCGCTGTCGCAAAATTGTTGAAAGATATGATGATGTTGTTGATATTGAGGTTGTTGTTGATGTTGTTGATGTTGTTGTTGTTGATGTTGTTGTTGATGTTGTTGCTGATGTGGTTCGTTGAGAGCATTGGGATAGATTTGATGTTGGTGGTGATGAGCTGTGGCGTTCATCGGTCCTATGAGCGACATTTTAAAACTTAGTTAGCATTTGGCGGTTCTGGAGACGACAAATTTAAAAAATCTTTAAAATTATTTGCAGTAAACTCTTATCCCCTGCTATCATTAATTTAAAATGAATAGAGGAATAAACTGACCAGTTCTTAATTCGTTCGCCAGGGCGGCAGACTTGTTAGCCGGCGAAAAATCGTAGAGAGTGAATTTTATCCTAGTACCCCATTCGAAACGGAAGAGGAAAACGCAATTCGACCTTGAAAGGTCAACCGGAAATGGTTGATTTGTGGGCGATAGTTGTTGATGTTGTAGTAGTTGTTGTTGTTGAGTTGAGGTTAATTTTTTGTTGACGAAATTAGCGATATATCCGTCTTTGTTGCTGCTGACCATCTGGGCTGATTGGCACTTTTCAATTGTTGGTGCGAACACTTTTAACATATTTCAATAACATTACTAAAAATATTAATAAATATACTACTACTATTATTATTATTACGTATTTGTTTAATTAATTTATTTTAAGTTTGTACAATCGTCGTCAACTTTAAAGCCTTTTCCGTGCATTCGGATCACCTTTTCCAATCTTGTAAAAAATGCCTGTCTTTGTTTGTATGTATGTATGTGTGTGTGTGTGTGTGTGTGTGTGTGTGTGTGTGTGTGTGTGTATGTGTGTGTGTGTGTGTGTTGGTGTAGGTAGGTATAGGGGCATGTTTGTATAAGCAGCAGAAGCAAAGATGGAATTGTGGACTGCTTCTTAGATATTCAGACCACGATAACAATTAATGTTAATGTCTGAGGAGGAAGAAACTATCATAGGCCCACCCTCACTCCATACCTTCACGATCTCACTTTATCTCTATAGACTCTCATTGTTTCCTCATCATCTCTTTATTCTCTCTTTTTATTTTTCGACGATAACTTTCTTTCTATCTTTAGTCTTTACGTTTCTCTTTATCAATTTTCGTTAAATTTGATTTTCCTCTGTTTTTCGCTCCCTCTCTCTCTTTCTTTCATTTTGTATTTCTCTTTCTCTCTCTCTCTCCGCTCCTACTTTATATTCATGTAGACAAGATTAGCATTAGGAAAAAATTGTATTTGAGACAGAGGAAGACTGTTATTGAGGGGACGATGATTGCATTCGTAACTATGCAACTGCTCCTGTCGATATTCTCGCTGCTACTACTACTACTGCTGCTACTGCTGCTGCTGCTACTACTACTACTACTACATTTTTATAGAGTTAAATTATTGCTATTATCATTGCAACACAGAAGAAAGAGACACATAGAAAGGTAAGAAGCATAGGAAGACAAAATGCTGCTGACTGCTGGCGATATAATGACTACAATTTATAATTTCATTACGAGATATAACATGGCGTTGCTGTGATGCTGAAGATGACGATGATGAAAATGATGAAGATGACGATGATGAAGATGACGACGATGATGAAGATGACGATGACTATAAATGTATAAGCGAAGTAATCACATTGCAGTGGCTTGACATATGACAAAAATGACACTTCTCATAATTTGCTTGCTACGTCATTGTCAGCCTCAACCCACATAAGCTCTGCAACCGCTACTACTACTACTACTACTACTACTACTACTTCTACTACTACTACTACTACTACTACTACTACTACTACTACTACTACTACTACTGCTGCTGCTATTGAAGTTAACAATTTACCAGCATTTTTTAATGTTTTCTATTTTTGCATATATATATATATATATATATATATATATATATATATATATATTTGTATATAATTTGTAAATTAATAAATGATTGAATGAATGAATGAATGAAAGAAATAAGAACGAATGAACAGGTGAATGAATGAATTGAATGAATGAATTAATGAAAGAAATAAGAATGAATAAGTAATCCGCTAAGCCGTCTAAACGCATTATCATCATCAGACTTGACAGTTATTAAAGGAAAACTAAACATACAGCGGGGATGTTGATAACGATGATCTTGAGATGAAGAGGATGATGATGATGATTACGACGTTGGTGATGATGGTGATGATGATGGTGGGGATGATGATGATGGTGGTGGTGACGTGAAGAAATCGATGAAGAGATATTTAAATCAATTTCACGCCACTCGTAATTGCGTTATTTTTGATGCATAGCGGACAGTTTTCCACAAATTATCTATTATATCTATACTGTCTCACTTTCATTTGTCTTTCATTCCTTCATTCCTTCTTTCATTCTTTCATTCATTCTTTCCTTCATTTATTCATTTATCTCTTTTTTCATTCTTCCATTCATTCATTTCTTGGAGCCTCGTGTTTTCATTTGGTTTTTGTATTTGAATTTCTTTCGCTTTCCATATCTCACTAAGCATGGGTTTGTTTATTTGTGAGTTTGTGTGTGTGTCTGCCTTTCTGTGTGTCTGTCTGTCTTTCTGTGTGTGTCTGTGTGTGTGTGTTTGTCTGTACGTGTCTGTGTGTGATGATCGTTCGTAACCGTTCATATGCATCAATTCTCTGGCAATCAAATTCAATTTGCGCATTCCTTTTTTCTCATCTTTCTCAAGATCATCATCAGCATCATCATCTTAGCAACGTCATCATCATCATCATTGCCACCACAATCACCATCATCATCATCATCGCCACAATCACCATCATCATCGTCGTCATCATCATCATCACAATGGACCATCGGCAAGTATTATCTGCCTATAATTAACTTGTCCACACATTCATCACTTATATTCAGACAAGTCGAGATGGAGATGATGATGATGATGAAGATGATGATGATGATGAAGAAGAAGAAGATGACGATGATGACGATGATAGTGGTGATGATGGTGATAGATGATGATGGTGATAGATAGGAATGATGAAGCAGTTGTTGTTTGCTGAAACGATTCATCATCATTTGAGCTATCGATAATATTTCCTATTTATTCTTCATTCATTCATTTATACATTTATTCATTCATTCATTCATTCATTCATTCATTCATTCATTCATTCATTCATTCATTCATTCATTCATTCATTCAATTATTCATTCAAATATTCACTCATTCATTCAAACCATTTTGTCCGTTGTCATTGAACGATGAAACGTTTCAAAATGAATTGAAATGAAAGGTAGGTGAGATAAGACTAAATGGAGGGAGAGAGAAAAAGAAAGAGAGAGAGAGAGAGAGAGAAGAAGAAGAAGAAGGAAATAAAAAAAGAAAAAAGAAACAAAGAGAGAGAGAGAGAGAGAAAGAGAGAGATGGAGGAAAAAAATGAACAACGTTTGTTTCAAATCACCTTTACCTGTGAAAAACTAATTGAAAAATACAGGTGTGATGGATCTGTGTACGTGTATGTGTTTGTGTGTGTATGTATGCGTGTGTGTGAATGTATGTGTGTGTTTTTGTATGTGTAGCAATGTGTACTGCGCGGTATGATTAAGTACCGTTGTTTCATTTTGTTATTTTTATCTTGCATATTTGTTCAGCAGGTAGGATCTAAAAAATTTTGAGTTTGATTTCATGTACATTTATTTGTATGTGTGCATCTCAGTTTGTATGTATATGTGCATGTTTGTGTGTGTACTTCAATTTGTACTTTGTTTATGTACAAAAGTTCATGCAAATACGTGTTTGTGTGTGAATAATTATCAGTTTGTATGTGTGGTGGTACTCCGCTGGAGGCCGGTTGAAAGACGCCCAATCCGAATTTCGTTCATATCTATCTCTTGTAATTTCAATTAAAACACACACACACACACAGACACAGACACACACACACACACACACACACACACACACAGACACACACACACAACACACGCGTATGGAAGTGCAATCGTTGGAGGAAAAAGACCTTGTACTAAAAAAACTACCAAAATACATTATAATATTCGCCTGCCAACCACAAAACGACAAGAAAACACTCCACTCCTCACTCCACACTCCTCACTCCACTCCTCACTTCACTCCTCACTTCACTTCTCACTCCACTCCACACGAAGAAACAAACGCTCACCAACCTTTCACACAGACAAACTCGGCATCGAGGTATGAAGCGAAATCCTTGGGGCAGGGCTGGGTCTTGATAAGGGCATGGTCAGAAACACTCAACTCGCACCCTCTCCGTCCCGAACAGGCCTGGTCCATCTGGTTCATGACGTCAGCACGGCAGCCCACGTGATTTCCGTAGTTGCGCTGCACGCATCGACCTGCGATGTGTTTGGTTGGTTGGTTTATTTGCTGGTTGGTTGATTGGTTGATTGATTGGCCATCCTCATTGTTGTCAAGTAACATAGCATAACATGTAATCATCATCGTCATCACAATCATCATCATCATCATCATCATCATCGTCACAATCGTCATCACAATCATCATCATCCTCTTACCAAGATCCATACGTCCGAATGTGGCTGACGTCATAAGTATCACGTGATCAGCCTCACATCTTCCGCTGAATGATTCAGTTAGGCAGTATTCCAGAGCCACTATTCGGTGTTGTTGTTTGTTGTTGATGTTGTTGATGTTGATGATGTTGTTTTTGTTGTTGTTGTTTGTTGTTGATGTTGTTGTTGTTGTTGTGGTTGATGTTTTGTAGATTTGTCTTTTGTTTTTATTGCAACAAAAAAATCGTTCTCAAACAAGAGTAGTGAATTTGGGAATAGATGATAAATGAATGAATGAATGAACGAACGAATGAATGAAGGAATGAATGAAGAAATAAAAGTGATGGATTGATTGATGGAGAGAGCTTTTAGCCTTTTGATTGATTTGCATTGTTTTATTTTAACTATATTACAAGTACACACACATATGTATGTATGTATGTTTGTATGTGTGTCTGTGCGTATGCATGTTTGTATGAGTGTTTGTATGTATGTGTGTGTGTTTTTATGTATGTTTGCTTGTATGTGTATGTTGCCTAGATGGACGTATGCATGTATAAAGTAGGTGCCTAAGATGTTTATGTATACAAATACAAATACATGCATACATACATACATGCATACATACATACAGGCATACATACATACATACAAACAAACAAACAAACAAACATTTGTATGTATGCAAAATGTCGATGTGGCCAATGAAATTTCAACTGGAATTACCCGCCTTTGAGAATAAATTTAGATCTCTGTTAGTGTCCGTGTATGTATGTTTGTTTGTATGTTTGTTTTTATGTATATGTCTTTTGTATGAATGTATTTATGTATGTGTATGCGTGTGTACATGTATGTATGAATGTATCGTGTGTACATATGATTATTTGTATGGTTTTGTATACTCTTTGTATTTATGTGAATCACACAGATACATTAAAATATGGTTTGTATTGTTTGTATGCGTTTGTATTTTTTTCTATAATTTGTATTATTTATACATTCGTGTCACGCCGCACTCTATGATTGAATGACGCAACAGAACTTCTATGTCCCATTCCATATTTTCATTCTCTTTTCTCTCTCTCTCTCTTTCTCTTTCTCTCTCTTTCTCTTTCTCTCTCTCTCTCTCTCTCTCTCTTTCTGACGCAATGATCATTAAGTTATTATAGGCTTGCGTTTTCTACACTGGTACGATTTTTCGATGTTTTGTTTTTGTCTGTCTGTCTGTCTGTTTGTTTGTTTGTCTGTTTGTTTGTCTGCACGTATGTATGTATGTTTGTGTGTGCATGCCTGAATGCTTGTATGTATGTATGTATGTATGTGTGTGTGTGTGTGTGCCTGAAAATACAAACAAATATGTTTCTTCTGCAGAACTCATCAAGATGAATTGCATAACGATAATTCACGAACTGCATAAACACTGTTTATAATACACACACAGACAAACATACACACACATACACACTGACAAACACACACACACATACAAACGCAAACAAACACACACACACGCACGCACGCACGAACGCAGAAACGCGTGCATACAACTTCAAACTGGTCTTCGGAGGGCATTAAGTCATTTTTCGTTCTCAAAATTTCCTCTCCTTCTCATTCTGACGTTTCAAATTTTCACGAAACCGATTGCGGACGCGTAAACGCTCACACGCACAGTACCTACATGCGTATGAGCGTACGTACACAATTTATGTACAACTTCATGTTCAAACTTCGGGTATTCACACTGTGAGTACAATAATTTGCGTGTACACATCGCATATGCGTGTGTGTATGTGCGTGTGTGTATGTGCGTGTGTGTATGTGTGTGTATGTATATACTTATGTGTCTGTAAGGACAACAAAAATTTCGTACTATCCCCCATTAATTCCACATGCACACTTCCGTAAAATTTGTAGACGAATGAAACCAACTTGCGTCATGTAAGAGATGCTGGTGAAGCAGTAGGAGGGCCACAATATTTTTTAAGATGGCCATCTTCATCACCCTGTTCATCACCATCATCGCCATTTTCATCATCCTGTTCATCATCATCATCGCCATCTTCATCTTAATCATTTTTGTTGGGTCATCATCAGTCTTGCGATCATTCACAATTTCTATAGACATCGTCTTTCTTTTTCTTAACGTCACCCTCTTATTATCTCTCTCTCTCTCTCTATCTTTTTTTCTCTCTCTCTATCTTTCTTTCTCTCTCTCTCTCTCTATCTTTTTTTCTCTCTCTCTCTATCTTTTTTGATGATGATGATGATGATAGAAATTATACTTACGACGACGACGATGATGATGTAGCTGTTGTTGCTAATTAAGGAACATCAGAATGTAGATATGAGCGTATTTTTACTAGCAGACCCACCAACGGTACCGACAATGATAAATTGTTCACAATTTAGAAAGGCGGTGCCGATAATGATGACGTTGTTGTTGATGTTGTTGTTGTTGTTGTTGATGATGACGATGTTGTTGTTGTTGCTGATGATGACGATGTTGTTGTTGTTGATGATGATGATGATGACGACGATGATGATGACGATGTTGTTGTTGATGATGACGATGTTGTTGTTGTTGATGATGATGATGATGATGACGAAGATGATGATGACGATGTTGTTGTTGTTGTTGATGATGATGATGATGGTGGCGATGACAACGACAAAGTTTTTAAATTTGAGAGGGAAATGTTTTCATTGGTTGTCAATTGGTGAAATTTTTTTTACTATCTGATTGGCTGTTTTGAATTCCTTGGTCGATTCTGATTGGCTGGTTGAAATTTATTGATTGTTTTTCCTTGGACAATTAAATTAAACTGCTTTTCAATTGGTTGATCAATTGCATAACGCCTCATATCATTGTTGTGGTTTTTTTTCAAATCCAAAATATAAAGACATCAACAAGAATAAATTAACATCAATTATTCAATTAAAAAAAATTATTTTATTTTATTTTAATCTAAATGGTCCAAACCCAAAAAATTATTCAATAGAAGTTATTAGAAGAAAAAGTCTTATTTGTGTTCTTTAATTTAGTCTCAATCAATATTTTCAATTCTCTCTCGCTTTCCCTCTCTTTCTCTCTCTCTCTCTCTCTCTCTATCTATCTTTTTTCTTTCTTTCTTTTTTCTATAAAAGTATTTAGTTTAACAGATTAGAATCATAAAACATGACAAATGTTTAGATGACACAACATAGTGAATGAATTATTACATTTTTCTATTTTTTAATTTGTTTATAATTTAGCTATTTAATTATTTTAATTATTTATAACTATAATAATTATTATAATATGTTTAATAAACCAAAAAAAAGAATTTTCGAAACATTTTTACATTTTGAGTTCACAAATGTTTCACGCTCCATATTCGCCTTATATACTCAAGCAATCCATGTATGTTTGTATGTATGTATGTATGCATGTATGTATGTATGTATGTATGTATGTATGTATGTATGTATGTATGTTTGTATGTATGTATGTATGTATGCATGTATGTATGTATGTATGTATGTATGTTTGTATGTATGTATGTTTGAATGTATGTATATATGTATGCATATATGTTTGTATGTATGGATGTTTGTATGT